TATCTATTTAGAAGAAAAACAAAAAGCATCTTTGTACAAGATTAAAAATACTGAAAATGAGAAATCATAAAACGTGAAACACTTCCTTTCAGAGGCTTTTTAAACCCACTCTGCATAATCACTGGTAACTGCAGTATAATGACATAATTAACAGTCAGCCAACAATAGTGAACCGACAGCAAGACTCTAACATCCTCACACTGTGTTCTGTTGAAGTGTCACATGGAGCGCTGCAGCAAGTGGCACATTATCGTTTTTATTTCCTTATTATCATGACTTGCTAGAGGAGCACCCAGCTGTTCATCTGTCCTCACAGAAGTGAGTGCAGAGGCTGCACAGAGACAGCCAGCAGCAAATCATCCATGTGAATCAGATGGAGCTGACACCTCCAGATGTGTTTGTTCTGTCAGTTCAGCTTTGTGTCTGAACAGAAAGACATAGAAATGAAGGTATTTTTCTGTTTTGCATACAGTAAACCCTGTTTAGTCACCAACATGGAAAATATTTATCTGCAGTCATATCTTCTACTCTGCCACCCAGGGGCGCGGTATAGGGGGGAAAAGTTATGACAATTCTAAGGGCCCTTGACGACATGGGGCCCTCCACACACACACAAAAACATATTTATTTATTTATTTTTTTTTTTTACAGAAATGAAAAAAAAATCGGGGCCCTGTCAATTACTGTTATTCTGTTTTATAAAATTGTTTTTAGCAATAAAAATTAAATGTTACCCCTCCCAGACCAAAAAGCAGACATCCATATTTGTACTAAACCCCCCTCTGGATCTGCCTGAAATGGTTCGTTCCTGCTTGACGTACTTAACGGTTAGTACAAGACAAGAAGGACTGTGGCGGTTGCTATGCTGCCTAGAAAAATAATGAAGTTTTAACAAAAAATAGGGAGATAAGAGAGAGAAAAAGACGAGTATGAATTTGTAGCACAGTTTTTCTCCAAGAGAGGTGAGTAGACTGTGAGATTATCAACCATTCAGCATAGTTAGCTTAGCTACAGACTAATGTTTGCCTCCATAGTATTTAATCAATTAAGGAAAAGAAATACCAGGATATTCATATATTTAACTTGTCCGTGTACCTTCTTACCACACT